GGAGAGGAGGGAGAGGAGAGGAGGAGAAGAAAGAAAAATGGGAAGGGAAAAAACATGAGACAGGAGGGCATCAGAGGCAAGGAAAGAGATTAGAAAGTATATCTTCTGCTTCCTGACTCTAAATACATATCTAATAAATGTTCGTTTCTTTCCATTCACCCCAAATTCATGTACTTTTTTCCCCTTTAATTTCTTTTCTCTGGCCATGACTGTCACCTAGAATTAAATATTTGTGATGATATAGACCTAGTGACTGGGTCACAGAGATAAAAGATGCTGAATGCTATGGCTCCAAGTGAGCAGTTGATGGATGAATCCCTGGACTGGGGAGTGTGCTTTAAAAAGATACACCTGCCTACAGGTGGCTAAGCAGAGATCTGCGTCTATACAAGGGACAGCCATAAATCAAAACGAGATAAAAGCATTTAAAGCCAACAAAGCAGGCAACATTTTTGAGTAATTGAGCCTCGTTTTAAAAAGCAAAAAATGTCTGTGTTAGTCTTCGCCTTTCAAACATTATTCTCTGTTTGGTTAAGCTATGCAAACACAGGGGCTCTGATGTAAGCAAGACTTTTTCTTTTTGTATGTCGTACATAAATGTCTTTAATCTTTTGAGTTAGGAATTTATTGGTTGAGTCTTTATGAGTAAATTCAGCAAAGCTCTGAAATGCTTTCTTTTCCTCCAAAAAGAAAGCAAGGAGGGAGGAGGCAGGGAAGGGTCAGTGAAGTTTAAAACAGAAGGCCCAAACTGCAAAAGAAAAGAAAAGAATAAAAGGATTTGTCTGAAACAACAGTGGAGGTGAGAGTCCAGCTGACTTTTGCACAGCTTAACCCTGGGCCCAGGTGAATGTGCCTTGGGTCAGACAGAGAAAGGGGACTTGGGTGAATTTGACCAGTTACAGCAATTTCAGTCACAACAAACAGAACAAGCCCACAGCCCCACAGTCAAACCTCACAGTCACCTGGCCACGTGCTGTGTTCTCTGTTTATGCTGCTAACAGAAAGAACAAAACTGCTAGTAGAAAGTACCTAAACCATGGATTCTTGAAATTTGCCATTATTCTAGAAATTTTCAAAGACTAATTTTCATTTATGGGCTATAGTGCTTCTAAGAGCTGCTGCAAACAGAACCACACACGGAATGGCTCTGGGCACATCCCACCTGGGACCCACAGGCTGCATGCAGCAAAGGAGAGCTATGAATGGAGCCCAACATGAAGCTGTAAACTTACTTAAGATACCATGAGATGTGTATGTGTGTGTGTGTGTGTGTGTTGTTTTTGTTTTTATAACTAGATTGCGTGAGACTCTTGTGTGAACTTACTTGTGATAAGTTGCTTTTCAGTGTCAAAAAGTTCATCTTGCCTGGGCCTTAAACAACATACATTTAGTGTCCCACCATCGTGGAGGTCAGAATCTCAGAATCAGGTACAGGATAATTGATGTCTCCTGTGGGCGCCATGCCTGACCACAGCTTGCAGGATTAGGGACCTGTCCTGCTCCAATGTAAGCTCATCCCTGCTAACCAGCAGACACACAGGACTCACACACACACCCCAGCACATGCATACAGTTCACACATATACATCCTCACATCTCCTAATCCATCAGATACAGCACACACACATATATGCTGTCCATCCCTATACCCACCATATACACATGACTGCCCTGCATATGCCACCTAGCATAAAGACAACTCACACACATACAGCCTCACATCTCCCCCACCCAGAACACACACACACACCAGGAGATACAGATGACTGTCCCATATGCGCAATCCAGCACACACGTAATGCACACATATGGCCTCACATCTGCCCACCTAACAAATGCAGCATGCACCTTAAATAGCAGATTCACACACACGACTACATGAGTCACATCCCCCACATCCAGGAGATACACATGACTGTCCCATACATGCAAACCTCCCCCCATACACACAACTTATACATGATTCATGTCATACCATCCTGCAGACACACAGGACACACACACTTTATATCCCACACCTAGCAAACACATAACTCAATAAGTGTCACCCATCCCACACATACTTCACACGCTTAAGGACCTCATTTTCCTCCATCCAGGAGACTAAACATGAGCCATATATGTATCACCCAGGAGACCACTCAAAACTTCACACCATCCATCAGACACATACTTCTCTCTCTCTCTCTCTCTCTCTCTCTCTCTCTTTCTCTCTCTCTCTCTCTCTCTCTCACACACACACACACACTACACTTCTTTCCCCACCAATACAGCATGCACACACACATGCACAAACTCACAACCTTGCCATGAGCCCTTCCTCTCGTGTGTAATAGTATTTTAATTATAATTTTATTATCACTACACAAATTTAACCTAGTGTGATGCCAATTGTTTCTATTTGCTCTTCACTTTTCTTAAGTGGTCCTGATATGCTGCGTCTGATTCATTTTTGTTACACACACACACACACACACGCACACATACACACACACACACTGGTGCCACTTGCAAAGCCAACTCAGCAAACCCCGGAGGAGTTAACCTGGATGTGCTAGAATCGGGTTGCATTTTGGCAGAGAAATCAGGATGCAAGCCTGCACAGCAGCAGAACACAGAGACTACCCGAGGGAAGGTGGGCTGGACCTTTGTCACTGACTCCCAAGATGCCAAGGATGCACTGCCCTGCCTGCTGGAGATGTGGGTTGCTGCACACAGCCTGACTTCGTAACAGTGACAGCAGCAAGTGAGCGACCCCGGGAAAGAGTCCAACCAACCCTAGGGAGACTGGAGCAGTACCACCCAGCGTCAAGCAGCCAGGCTGAGGGTTGAAATGCCATCTCATGAGGAACCCACTGCGGGTCTTCAAGCTGGAGTGTGACAGAGCCGAAGCCGCGCTTCAATAACGGACCATTAGGTGTATTTAGGCGGAAACAGCCTCACATTTTGCAAACAAGCCAGGTATGCGTGGTCTGCCTCATCGGAAATTCTGCACACAGCTTGATGCGCTCACAAATTCACAATTCAGAATTAATTGGTTTTTAGGCTCTGCATTTAGGTCATCCTTCCCAGACACCCCATTTCATGTGGTGAAAAGAAATTAAGTCAATTTTCCCCCTGCCAGACCCTCGGCTCTCATCTCACAGGCCCGGCGAGCCGCCCCGCTGCACGCACTGGAGGAAGACAACCTTTAAAGGCATTCTCATTATTTCTCAGGGAGATGTCATTAAGTACTGTAAACATGTCCTGAATGAGTCCATGTCACAAAGACGACAGAGTGTTTATAGAATAAAAACCTGTGAGCATGAGCACCAAACTAAGAGAACATAGGAAAGAAAGGAGAGAAAGAGGGAGGTTTTTTTGTTTTTTGTTTTTTGTTTTTTCTGTTTTTTTTTTTTTAAGAATGAAAAAGAAAGGTCATCTTGACCAGCAAGGTGAGCTGAAGGTGTGAACCATAGGTAAGCCCACCCAGATGAGCTCTAGTCACCGAGAAAATCAGAAATGGGATCAATCTGACTGGGTCCACTCTCTCACTCCCCAGGCCATTACCAGCCCACCATACCAATTTTTCGTTCCGAATTCATCCATGGCAGACATCATAAATTGATCGTCCATCTGCAGCTCTGAAAGCATACTTGAGCATTTGGCAAGAAAGTAGTCAAATCAGCTGTTTTCTGCTGCAATTAAACTCACTGATGTTTCTGTGTGAGTGATGTGGGGTTTGGGAACAGGGGTGCTCCTTTTACAACCTATGACATTACTCTAACAAAGAGAATCGTGCTCAAGATAAACTGAACACACGTCTTACTTGCTATTTGTTTGCACTGTTGGTTACAACCAAGTCTAGAGGACAATATCCTCAGAGCTTGACCTCCCCACCCAGAGTCTGGCAATTAGCTCACAGTCCTGTGGGCAACATACAATGGACTGAAGAGCATCGGTGTGTTCACTTCTAGGGAGGAATGACATCACCAAGGCTTGTTTGGCGGTTTCATCTTTGTCCCCTCATTTAGACACCAAAAGGACCTGAGGTACGTACCCACTGCATCAGGCTTCAGCCAGTGATTGACAGTATAAGCATGTAAAAGCAATGTTACCTTGTCTTGGGGTGGCCAAATGACATATCTATTAGCATTCTCAGGGCCAGGCCAACAATGCCCACTGGACAGCTATGAAATAGCATGCCTTTGGGCTTCTCCTCTCCCCCTCTGTTCCTCTCTGTCCTTACTTGATTTCTCTGGGAACATGTTCTTAACATATTATCATGTGTCTGCGAATGTTGACTCTGGACACACAGAGCTGTGGATCTTAAGCTCTTATAAAGCAGGGAGGTCTTGACACTGGAGGTGGGCGATGCCTGCTCCTGGAACTCCACTTTCCTGCTTCTCTCTGGGTTTTTGCACTAGGCCATGTCTTGTACCACAGAGAACCAGAAGCTGGAACCTCGGAGCTGCACTGGTGAGTTCTGTTAACGTACTCCCCTCTCCCTTATGCTTGCTCTCTCTGTCCTGCAAATGACGGGCTTCAGGCAGGCCTTGAGTCAAGAGACCT